GACCCCGCGGGCCGGACGGAGCGCAGCCGGCGGCCGAGGAACCTGCTGATTCACGCAGCGCCACCAGGTGGGGCTGCGGAGCGGGGGCTTCCCCGGGCTCCGCGGAAGCCGGCTGGCCTGCTGGGTAAATTCGCGTTCCGTTCTGGCCCCTCCGCTCTTTCCCCCCTCCAGGTCTTGTGGGTCGTCTTGAGGAGCTCTTTTCTTGAAAGACAGTGCTGCTCTTAAATACAGTAATCCTAAAGTGGCTGGAGAAGACAAATGCAGAGTAAATGCTATGCAGTCCTTTTAAACGTGTCTCTTGGCCAGTTCTTCCTACCGATAATTTTGGATTTGTGTATAGGTTTCAATAGTTTTGTAACAAATAATGGGTTTTATACAAACAGTTGACTCTTACACAACACAGTAGATAAAGGAGACTTTGCGGTCTGTATGTTTTTCTTAGGAGGGTTTGCTTTGTTGGTAACTTTTGAAGTGCCCAGTTAACTGTTTACTTGCATTCTGCAAGAGCAACAACTCTGTGTTCGTCCCAGCGTGCAGTGATAATGAGGATAATGATAATGATAATGATTTATTAAGCTTGCATGCTACCTGACTCTCAACGACCCTGGGTAGCTCACAACAATCAAAGAAATTACAATAAAATCAATAAAGCATAAAAGATAAAGATAAAAGATGGCAAATGCAATGAAGTGGGGGGCCTCACTCTCCCTCACCAAAGACCTGGGTGAAGAGCCACGTCTGCATGGCTCTTCTAAACAACAGCAGAGTGGGGGCCATCTGGACCTCGGGGGGAACCTTGTTCCAGAGAGCAGGTGCTGCTGCAGAGAAGGCACGCTTCGAGGGCCCTGATAGCTGGCACTATTTAGTTGAAGGAACCTGGAGTGCACCAACCCTGCAGGATTGAATGGGGACTGGTGGTCCCTCAAGTAACCAGGCCCTATGCCATGTAGAGGTTGAAAGGTAAAAATCCAACACCTTGAACTGCATCTGGAAACAAATCGGCAGTATAGCTTGCGAAACAGATGTGTTACATGGGCATACTGAGGCATGCCCATGACTGTTCGCACTGCCACGTTTTGGACCAGTTGAAGCTTCTGGGTGATCTTCAAGGGCAGCCCCATGTAGTAGTCAAGCTGCAAGGTGACTAGGGCACGACTGACTGAAGGGCCCCCCGATTTAGGAAAGGGCCCGACTGGTGCACGAGATGGAGTTGTGCAAAGGCCATCCTGGCCACAGCTGACACTTGCTCTTCAAGCAGGAGCTGTGAGTTCAGGAAGCCTCTCAGATTGCATACCAACTTCACTGGGACAGAATCCTGACAGTCTCGCTTGGCCAGCCTGGAGTCCAAAGATATAATTAAAAGATATAACCCCAAACTGGCAGAGGACCTGACCCAGTGGTTTCATGCAGATATTGAAAAGTAGGGGAGACAGAATAGAACCCTCTGGCACCCTACACAGGAGGGGCCTAGGGAGTGATCTCCCCCAAAGCCAACACCAACGGGAACCGGCCCCAGAGAAAGGAAAAGAACTGCTGTAAAATGGTGCCCCCAACCCCCAACCTGCAAAGCCAGCTTAGGTGGATGGGAGCATGAGGCAAGGGCTGTATTTGTCCTGTGTCTTGCAGGAATTCGGAGGGCATCCGAACATCATTCGACTCCTGAACGTCATACGGGCTCAGAATGACAAGGACATTTACCTGGTTTTTGAATCGATGGGTGAGCTCTTCCCAGCTTCCCGTGAGAGAGGGAGGAAGGCAGGCAGCCACCACCACAGGAGCCTATTCAGCTGGATTCGAATACTAGAAGTTTGCTTGTTTTTAAATATTTATTGTATTTTCATTTACAGTAATTTATATTGTTGTAAGACGCTTTAGGAGGATTGTTTTTCTGAAAGGCAGGATGTAAAATAATTGTAATAAATAAGCAAAATTGCAGAAACTTGTCCAGGCAGTTGCCAGGAATCAACACTGACTCGAAGGCACCCAATAAATAAATAAGTAAGTAAGTAAATAAAAGCAATAACATTTGTAAATGCCATTTCAGAAGTAAGCTTGAAATGGGAGATAAACTTAGGGATGTGACTTGAGAGAAAAGGATCTAAGGACAGTTTAAATTGTGCAACAATTAGCAGAATTTTTTGATTTTAGGCTAATAAAAGTGCTTTAATAATGGAGGTATATAGGAGAATCTTTTACAGAAAATTCATAATGGGAGGTTATGCTCTGCCAGTAGAGCAGAGCCTGAAACATCATTGTTTTCCATAGAGCCAAACACCATGTTTGTGATGTGTTCTGCTCAAACAGTGCTGGTGATGTGCTTAGCCCTGCAGCCACCCTCGAAACAGTGGCTAGGTATACTTTGCATGATACAATGCATTCACTGCTGCTTTTATGTCCCCTGTTTCAGAGACAGACTTGCATGCAGTGATCAAGAAGGGAAATTTACTGAAAGATATTCATAAATGCTACATCCTGTACCAGCTCTTGAAAGCCACCAAATTTATCCACTCAGGAAATGTTATTCACAGGGACCAGAAGGTATTTATTTACTTTATTTATTTATCAAATGTCAGGGTCCCCCAACTCTTTAACGATTCTGAGCAGCTTACCAATAAAAAGACAAGGGACTTTTTTTTTTTTAAAAAAGACACAGCTGACCAGAAGAAAAGAGCACCATCCCTAAACCAACCATACCTAAAGGAACTCCACGATCACCCTGTCCCCAGGGTCTTGAGAAACAACCAGACCTTAAATGACATAAGGGTGGGAGCCACAAAAGTTTCTGAGGGATATGGTTCCCGAGGGCAGGTGCGCTTCCTGGGTGCCTCAAGGTGACACTGCTTACTCAGTGGGACCCAGAGTGTACCCGCCCTGCTTGATCGTACTGGACGGACAGAGACAACTGGAGATAAGCGGTCCTCCAGATGACCAGGCCCTCTGCCGCGAAGGGTTTTATGCACGAGACTAGAACCTCGAATTGCATCTGGAAGCAGTGCAGCTCGCAGAACAGCAGGGTCCCATGCACGCAAGGCAGCAGTCCCATCGCTTCCTGCACTGCCGCATTCTGGACCAGCCCCATTTCACTGTGTGGCGATCAGGGCATGAGTGGCTGTCGAAGGGCCTCCTGGACCAGATGGCCTAGATGTGCTTGTGTCGAGGCCTTCTTGGGCATCGCTTCCACCTGCTCTTTGAGCAGGCTCCGAGAGTCCAAGAGAGCCCTTAGGTTGCATACACGTCTTGAATGGTGAAGTGCATCAACCCCACTGGGAGTTGATGATGAAATGCCTCTGGATCCAGGGGGCCCAAGTAGACGCAGCCACTCGGTCTCGTCAGGTTTAAGCTTGAGCCTGTTCCTCCCCATCCAGCCCTGCATAGCTTCCAGGCACTGGGTTAGGACTTTGATCATATCCCTTGGCTGCCCAGGGGTCGAGATACGCAACTGGGTATCGCCCCCATACTGATGATACCTGTCCCCATACCGGCAGAAGACTTTGCCCAAAGGTTTCATGTAGATGTTAAATAGAAGGAGAGACAGCATCAAACCCTGAGCACCCTACAGGCAAAGGGCCAAGGGCATTATCTCTTCCCACCTGTCAACACCAATTGAAACTAGCCAGGGAGAAAGGAGAAGAAACACTATAAAATGATGCCTCCTGCCCTCAACCCCTGTAGCTGATTCAGAAGGATACCATGGTCAATGGTATCAAACGCCACTGAGGGATCAAGGAGCACCAAGAGGGATATCCGCCCCAGGCCATGTACTAACACGGCCAATGTCATCTCTGTACTAAGCCCTGCCTTGAAACCTGACTCATATGGGTCCAGTTAATCCGCTTCCTCCAGGGTCTTCTGGGGCTGAAGCCCAACCACCCTCTCTACCACCTTCCCTGAAAAGGGACTTGTGGAGGAGATGGTGCACCACAGCCTCTTTCAGTTTATTCCTATTTATTAGGAAGGCCTTAAATTAATGGAAATAAGTGAGGATAAAGTTGGGACTGGATTATCAGCGTGTGCCTGCTACTCCTGACCACCCCATCCTTCTTCCAGGCACTTCATTTATTTATTACGCTTCTACACTTCCTCCTCCCCCACATTCTTAGGGTTGTATAGTTTATCCTTATGACTGCCCTGTGAGGTCAGTTAAATTGAGAGAAAGTAATCAGCCCTGGGTCTTGTGGTGGTTTCATGGCCCATTTCCTAACTGAATCCTAGCCCGATGCAGGAAGGGCAGGGAAGCTTTTGGCCCCAAGCCAATTGGCGCCAGGGAGGTATGTGGAAGGAAATGCCCCCCGTGGTGGAGGAGTCCATAGCTTGGGTTGGGTGGGGCTATCTGTTGCAGACATGCTCCCCTCACATCAGTGCCTACTTCTGTCTCCATTCACTCTTGTGTTATCTTGCATGCACCCTCTCCAGAAAAGTCACTTATCACTCAGCAGTTAAGCTTTAAAGCAGGCTCCATCAAAGGAGATTTTAAAGCCTCATTATACTCCATAAAGGATTATTCTTTTAAGGGGAAAGGACTAGGCCTTCCCTCCCCTCCTAGGTTCCAACCTCCCCTCAAAAAATGTTCCCCATCCTGCACTGAGGCCTTAAAATACATTTATTTTATAATACGTTGGAGGAAAACCTCTCATCTTTGATCAATGCTATTCCAAGATAAGAGCACTTCCTTTTTTTTACCTGCTCCTAGTAGAATTGGACACAAACCAAGCCAGTGGGCTGAATGATTTGGTAGTTGCATGGGTCCCACCCTCTCCATTTCTCTCTGTCTCCTTTCACTTCCAGCCTTCCAACGTCTTGTTGGACAGAGACTGCTTTGTGAAGCTGTGTGACTTTGGGCTGGCTCGTTCCCTGGGTCAGATTGAAAAGGATGAAAGCAACCCTGCACTTACTGAGTATGTTGCGACTCGCTGGTACCGGGCCCCTGAGATCCTACTTGCATCGAGATGGTGAGGAACGGAATCCATGAGATCTCTAGAAGGAGGGAGAGTGGTTCTCTCCTACTTCACTTTTCCTTTCCAGGGTCATAATGGCAACACCCAAATTCCCATATCTTTTTGAGGGCTTAAGGCAGATTAAACAAGCTGGAGCTGTAGAGTGGAGTTAGGGTTAGGGTTTCCCAGCTAGACGCTTGTTAGATTCCTTCTAGTGCACAATGCCACTAGGTTTCTTACAGAAGGGAACTGTTCTCCGTAATCAGGGTTTCTGACCTCCTGGATTGACTATAGTATGAAGTTTGTACAAACCTCGAGCCAAATTGAGGGTACAGTTTAGAAGCTAGAGGAGCAAACCACATAGCAATTCTCCCCGTTTTGAACCCGAAACAACCTGGTTGCTTCCTTGGTTCAGAATGTCCAATCAGAGAAGGACTTGTGGATCCATGTGTCGCATCTGACATAGCTTCAGCAACTGAAAGGATGACAGTGGGAAGCACCGCTGCCCTGATCCAGTTAGCACTCCAGGCCACGCAGGACGCTGGCCAATCTCGTTAATCTCAACTACCATTTGTCTGCCCTTCACTTCTAAGGCAACAGTCTGTCTAAGGTTTGAAGAGCTTTTAAACTTCTTCCTTGACCTGTTGCAAAGAGCATAACTCTGGGGCAATGAAATGACAGGAAGAGCTTGAGAAAGAGCCATCTGTTTGACAGGGCATCCATGAGAGAAATTACAAACCCAGACAACTATTAGCAAAGCAATCGTTACCCCAAATGTTATGGAACACTCGGGATTTTAAGTTCGCAATCCCAAGGATTGCAATGAAAAAATATTTCCAGTAGCATTATTCAGCATCCCCATCTCATGCAGGTTGAAAATGACTTGCTTATGAACCATCATTTATCATCAGTACTGCAACCGAGGTCTGTGCCGGAGACGAAAGGAAATGACAGCGGTCTTAATTGCTAAGGGACCTCTCCGGTGTTTCTGACAGACGCCTCCTGGGTTCCAGCACTAGCGAGTTTGCCTTTCTTCTTCTGTAACTGAGTGTTGCAGTATCGGCAATGAAGCAGTTCGCAGGGCCATCTAAGGTTGGACGTATTCTCCTGTGCACCGCTGGCAAGTCCACTGCTTTATCTGGAAGTAGACTTTCCCATCAGCTATGAATTTGTTTCTTCAGAGCTCCTGCCACTTCCGGCTTTGTGGCTGCTGGAGGCTCTATTTTTTAAAAATTCCTCCATAAACAAAGGACAGCTTAGGAGCCGGTAAATTTAAATAAGAATTGGCAAATAAGATTTGGCCACCTCTTAATGGTTGCACTCCTGTTTCTTTCTTTCCCCCCCCCCAACTTTTCTTCTTTGAGTTGCAAAGGTACAAGCTGTAAAATGATACCCATGTTAAGAGTGAGAGCTTGTAGGGAAGTCCTCTTTGGGGCAGAGGATCTGAGTGCTCAGGGAGGACTTAAGCCACCATTTCCCCTTCTGCCTTATTACTGGTTGATTTTCAAGGAAAGTCTCTTGCCTTAGTCGAATCTGCCTTTTGGTGACCCATGCAGTGTGTGTGTGTGTGTGTCTTCTTTCTCTTAAACAAGACCGGACTTGGTTGAACACCTATTTTCTGCTTTTGGTATGCCTACCTTCTCCCACTTCTTCATCCTCTACATCCTTTCCCCACCTTTCCCAAAAAATTGCCACCAGTCTATATGTGGGAAACCTTACGGTAGCAATCTTTTTAACAGGAACTGTAGCAGATGCCCCCAAATTCAAGGAAGAGCAAAGGAAAGCAAGAGGAATCACCATATAGCCATTATAAAACAAATAAGCCCATTTCCAAGACCCAAAGCAACTGGTTTCTGGAATGACATGGAATTTGTTTTTCTGTGCTGAGTTAATTTCTGTGAATGGCAGTGCTCACAGCACTCATTGGAACGAGCCAGGGAGGGAAAGGGCAGCGCAGCCCTCCGTGGGTGCATGGAGCGTGCAAGACTCCTGGAGGGCTCTCTTGCTCTCTGCTGCACCCTTACGATTGCGCAGTCCGTGCGGAGGATTAGCTTCCCTTCTTCCACATACTACACCTTCCTCTCCGTTTCTCCAGTGCCCTTCTGTAATTTCCTTCCTAAATAGGCCAGTCTGTCTTTGTCAAAATGACCCTGGGACGGACACTTCAAAGCTCCTTTTGGTTTATTTGTTTCCGCTTTTTTTTCCTGCAGCCACTGCAGAGTCTCCTTCCTAAGAAACAGCACGACTCTCTGTCTCCTCCTCCCATTGTCACTGTCGTTGCCTATCAGAAGGTAGCATTTACAGCTGATGCACGTGGGGGACACTCTCTCTGGAACTGTTGGGTGTTCTTGTGGGTCTTGCGTGTCAATCCACTGCTATGCTCACTTCCCGCTGAAGCACCTTCCTGTTAATTTCAGCAAGATGTCCAGCTCTGGACTATGGGGGAGGAGGGGCGCACCTCTTTGGGACGGCTCTCATAGTTCACTCTCTTAGCACCCAGCATCACAGATCACCTTATACCAGAGGAGGTTAGGGCAGGGGCTGCCTGGTGCAGGTGACTGTCAGGAGCCAACTACTAACAGTATCTGCTTTCAATGTCTTGAGAGAGATGCCTTCAACACCCTGGAGCATGATGGGACAGGACTTCTCTGCCAAGTTCAGTCTTCTCCCTAATGAACCATCATCAGCCAGAGTTAGATCCTGGAGTTGCTGGAGTGAGAGTCTGCTAAAATCAGCAGTGCCAGCAACACTGTGTGATTGATTCAGGTTGGATCTCTAGGTGTCAGCATCCTCTCTGTGACACCAGAACTACAGGAAAACTCTCCCTTGATCCCGGATTACAGGTAATACAACCAACCACTGAAGTTGTTTTGAAGTTAGTAATCTGTAGGTACAGGGTGTTCTGTTAGAGGAGAAGACAAAAATTACATGCAAACACACACTTTTATCACACTACAGTACTTACATATGTCATCTTCCCGATTGCCTTATTAGGAGCAAACTATGATAGAATTAAGATAAGAACACCTTGAAATTGATCATACGTAGTTATTTCTAACTTGCTTCTTTCTCTGGGAATTGTACGGGGCGGCAATTTGAACAAAGATTACCTGTTTCTAATTCTTGTGTACCTGTGCTTCTTATCCCCTATTCCCTTTCCTGCCAGCACTTCGTTTTGTGCAACTTATCTGCTGTTATCTGGCTTCTAGCTTGTTCTGTTGTGCACCCTAACCATGGCTTATAACTAAAGGCTACTAATGGCTTAGGGTTGGGGTTAGGCACTCTGATCAGTGCAACGTAGGGTGGAGATATCACTTCCCATGATCTCAACATTATACTTCTGCTGATGCAGCCCAAGATTGTACTGACTCTTTTAGCAACTTCAGCACATTGCGGGCTCATGTTTAAGATGCCCAGATCCTTCCAACAAGTACCACTGCCAAGCCAGGTAATGCCTATCTTGTACAAGCAAGAGTTGGCAGCCACCTATCTGGAATGGTCTGAAGACTACTGCCCTCGGCAGGGGGTTGGACCAGAGGACTTCTAACTGTATGATTCTGTGATAATTTACTACTCTCTGATCACAGCAGTAGCTGCTGGGCAGTGATAGGTGAAATTGAAAGCAATTATTTTGCTTATATGTTCATTAAAAAATTTAAACTGCCCAATAGCCAAAGCTCTCTGGGTGGTTTACAAAATGATTTTCCTGGTGGCCACTAGGAGCAAATGGAAAATCACTTCCATTCTGCTAAAGCACATTAAGTTACCTGCCACATCCTTCTAAGTAAGGCAACCAGAAACGTAAGGGAAAGAGAGAGAGAGAGAGGGAGAGGCAGTGAGTAGTGGACACAGTAAAAAGAGTGAAAAGGAGTGAATCTGTACAGTGATACCTCAATTTAATGGACAAATTGCAGGAAGGAGATCCTCTTTTATTCTTCCAAATTGTCAAATTGGACAGTCGTCCATACCTGGTCTCGAAGTATACGGGAGCTGCACAAACCTTGAGCCAAATTGGAGTGGGAATGGGGAAGCAAATCAGGTAACCATATCACTTTGAAGTGACAGCAGCAAGATTTTAAAGCGTGGGTATTTATCTTCAAAATTAATATAAAGAAACTGTGCCATTTGTGACCAAAAAACCCTGTTCTTCCACAACCGCTACGTGATGCAGATTTTTGGACCGCATGAGCCCTTGGCTGGATTCAGCCTCAGTATTATTCTTGTACATAACATTTCATCATGAGCTCCAGAAAGTTTCTTTGTTCACTTTCTTAATGAAATCACATGGCATGACTAGTACTGGAACTTTATCATCATATCAAAACCAAAGCCATTTCCAACAGTTGATCTCTGACAGTTGAAACAGTTTTCCCAGGTTAGATCTTCTTGGAAACAAATCTAGTGATTCCTCTTTTATTGCTTGTTTGCAGTAACAAACAGACTGGCCTTTTTCCATGCTCAGCTCTAGGTGACCGCTGCCTTTTTCTGTTCCCCACATTTTTAGCTTTTTAGCTAGCCCTGATTTCAGCTGCCTTTTCTTCCTTTCTTGCAGTTACACCAAGGGGGTGGATATGTGGAGCATTGGCTGCATCTTGGGAGAAATGCTTCTCGGGAAGCCTTTGTTCCCAGGGACATCCACAGTCAACCAGATAGAGCAGATTCTACATATTATTCCTCCCCCGAGTGCAGAAGGTAAGAAGAACTCTGTGTGTGTGTGTGTGTGTGTGTGTGTGTGTGTGTGTCTACTTGGAGCTGATGTGTCAGATAGGTGGAGCTGTGTACAACTCCCTTCCTGGTTGTAACAAGCTGCATTTTTTAATCACCATCGCTTTGTTTCCTGCTTTGCTGAAGGCTTCCTCCAGAATCTTACTGGTTTGTGTCCTAAAATGCCTTGTGGATCCAGAAGATATTTTGCTGTTCCTCTTGCTGAGTCCGGCTGGTGCACAGACAGGGAGCTTTTGAATACTTTCACAAGCAGGAATAAAGACAATAGTCCTGGCATGTTTGATGTTTTCCTTTCTTAAAAATCAGGTGCTTCTGAAGATCTCACACTGTAAAACTCTCAGGGAGTTGGACTCTCGAGGAGCTTGGTACTGACTCCAGTCCTCCTGATAAGATACATTGGCAGGAACCACTATCTCTACCTTCTTCCTCAGCCAGGGTTCACTGGGCTGGCGCATACAGATGCCCTGGTTCTCCCCTTTCTGAAATGATACTCGCTTTTTGGGTCCCTGGCTATATTGCTGGGAAGAAAGGCATTTGCTTTCTTGAAGTGGAGCTGAATCCAGGGTCAGAGTGGAAGTGAATCATAGGGTTGGAAGGGACCTCAGATGTCATCTAGTTCAACTGCCTGCGAAGTGTAGGATTTGTGCAGGATTCCAGTGCCAGACAGTCTAGGGAACTGAGAGGACACACGGAGATCAGCAACCCAATCACCTCTGTCACCTCCC